CAATAGTGACACTTTCAACGTGTGAGGCAGAGTATGTGGCAGCATCCTGGTGTGTGTGTCATGCAGTATGGCTCAGAAGGTTGACAAGTAAGATGAGGCTGAAGCAGGAAGGTCCAACAATAATACACGTGGACAACAAATCAGCTATTGAGCTGGCGAAGAATCCAGTCAATCATGAACGAAGCAAGCATATAGACGTTCGATTTCACTTCATACGTGAACATGTGAAAGAAGGAAGCGTGGAACTAAGGCATGTGGCAAGAAAAGACCAAGCAGCTGACATCTTCACAAAACCACTATCAAGAGAAGTATTCGAAAGAGGCAGAAAAATGATTGGGATGCTTGATCAAAGAAGCATTTAATGTTTAAGGAGAGTTTTGTTGAAATAAAACATTAAATGGGTTAGAAATAAATGATTAGTATTAACTATGGTAGTAAGAAAGGCATTAGTTTTTTTTGTAGTTATGTAGCAGTTATGTTGTTTAATTTACTGTTTTAGAATTGTAAAGGTTTTGTTTGAGTCTAAAAAAGACCAAGTGTGTGTAATTTATTCACTAAGACCAATATACAAGAAGTTAAAAGTATACAAAGTCTGATTAATATTCTACAAGTCATAACGCCTTAAATTTACATTTCAGTGATGTTTCCAACGGCTTCGACTTGCTTTCTCGGGCCATTTTGCTTGCATCTCGCTACCATATTTCGCCTCTTTTTGGTTCTGACTTAGAACCTCTTCAACGTTCGGTGTAACAGTCACCTTCACTAGGGTGACTGGGTGACTATTATATTTGCAGATCATAGAAGACCATAGAATGTTGCTTCTACAATCTAGATCATTTTTGTTAACTCCTTCTGCTGAAAAGTTTACTCTAAATTCTTTCCCGAGTTTCCTAGTTGTTATTACGTTCCTTGCTCGACTGAATATGCAATAAACATATTTTTGCTGGCTGTGAATTCAATTGCGTTGAGGATACCAGGACAATTGTATTAGTGTTGCTTCATCTTTATCGTCATTAGAGAAGCCCTCAACATCTTCTTCCGGTGATGATGAATTAGAAGCCTTAAGGCATGCGACTTTGATGTTATTAAATCCAGTTAGATACATTAAACTAAATAGGTAATAGGCAATCTTATATATATATATATATATATATATATATATATATATATATATATATATATATATATATATATATATAAATATATATATATATATCATAAAATTGATTTTCAATACCTCCACATAACTTCGGTCCCTGGAAAATGTATCATTCCTGCAACATAGCTCATTATTGAGGGCTTCCAATTTGTAACGGTTGTAATTATTGGAAAGTTTGACAAATCTTAACGGAATCATAACGGAAATCCTTGTTTTTCAACTATTGGGTTTCCATGTCAATTTAAGAGAAATCAGGTCCACCAATGTGTCAAACATTCAATGATCATAATAATGAATCAAATAGACATTTATGAATAATCACTTATCTTTCAAAGTGGGTGTCTCCAATCTTACGCTTTTCTATTTTAACGTGAGCATCTTTATTGGTAATCAAAATCGTAACGACGATTTTGAACAATGAGATTCTAAAGACGCGGATCTTGTCACAACGATCTTTACGAAGATAGTCGGGTTGGGAGCGACATCTCGCCGGTTTACTCCAGACCCAACCCCGCCATTATCTGGAATTACATACTGTTACCACAAGTAACCAGTGTGTAGGAGGTTGTGTATGGCCTTGTCACATAATCATAGATTATCGTATTATGTAACCTGAAAAGAATAATGAGATAGGATTCAAAATGATGACACGAGGCAAGTAGGTTGTGTCATTCATGCAATGACTTGTTACTATTGCAAAGGATAACGATATTACCAAATGAAAAAGAAAGAGTCGTGACTGTGAGACACTTATTTGGGTAACATAATCCAGCGAATGATTAATAACATGGTGTAATATTGCTACCTGTCATAATCATGGAGAAATCGATCTTGAGGCCCAAGTTAGTTTTATTGGACACATCAGAACATGACCAATAATTTGATGGGGAAGGATACAAAGTATCTCTCTTCCACATGAAAAATGGTCATTGATATGTGATTATTGTGGCTTGGGAAAGTTTTACTAGGCCCCATAGTGGGTGCCAATGTTCTTTTATGGAATAAATATTCGGCCGACTCCCCCTTTAAAGGTTAGAAGAGTCCCAAAAGTGGGTTGTAGGATGATTGAGAATTTGGGTGCTACTATAGTGACATGTATTGATCCAAGAGACGATATCTTGTTTATCCCTCGTGCGGAAGTCCCTAGGTATGATGTGTAGTGTCTCTATGAACTATGGTCACAGAGAGTTCGTAGAGAGAGAGAGAGAGAGAGAGAGAGAGAGAGAGAGAGAGAGAAAAGCCCTCATTTTTGCCTTTGGTCTCTAGGCATATATATAACATAGGTTTTAACTCATACTTAATAGGCACAATTAATTATCATAATGATGTAACCATCTATTAATACTTGTAACGCTTGTAACCGCCCTTTAATGACTTTGTAACGCTTATAATCGTCTGTCTTGTCATTAGGTTACGATTACACCTTTTGTCCTTCTCGGGACCGACTTACTGTACATAGGCGGTACTGTGCCGAGCTCATACCCAGCTGAGCCTAACTAAGTAGTCGGCTCCGGTCTCTTTAAGGATGGTCTCGTACATCATTATTCATCTGAGTTCGTACCTCGACCTTAATATAAATATTTCGGAATGTACACTATGTAATTAATACTATGAGCTATACTTTTTCTATATAATATATCTTTCTCACGGTTCAAATATCCTTGGTCTCTTGTATTTCAATATATATATATATATATATATATATATATATATATATATATATATATATATATATATATATATATATATATATATATATATAGAGAGAGAGAGAGAGAGATGTATCAAGTAGGAGCATTTTATAATGAAAGATGAGAAGAATAAATATCATCTATTAGATTAATCAGGAGAGAGAAATTAATATCTACATTAATATTTTAATAAATAGTTTTTGATTAATTCATTGATTGATATTTCATCCTCTCATCTCTCCTTTATATATATATATATATATATATATATATATATATATATATATATATATATATATATATATATATATATATATATATATATATATATATATATATATATATATATATATATATATATATATATATATATATATATATATATATATATATATATATATATATATATATATATATACATATATATATATATATATATATATATACTAACAAGAACTAGTTTAAACGATAGAGAATATATTCCTTTAAATATGACATAAGAAATACAATAATCTCATCTTTATTTTAAGATTTTTAAAATTATTCTCAGATATTTTTTATTTTAAGAAATTATTTTACATATAATTTTTTTCATATTTATTCTCATTTTTAAAGAGTGAGAATTCACCATTCTCATAAGAATAAAATAACTAACTACAATTTATCACTAGTATTCACATTGATATTTATTTTTATTTTTTATAATTTTTAAATTAAATAAAATGTGTCAACGTTTTGGAAAATTTTTATTTTTAATCAAACATTCAGATGAAAATATTGTTCGTAAGAATAAGAATCTTGAAAATATAATTCTAAAAAAAAATGTTATTTCAAAATTTGAAACAAACACATTTTTAATTGTGTCTAAGCCTCAACTGATTCTGAAGAATAGAAACAACAACTAACACCAACCATCATATGTACAAACCGACATTCAAGTTGTGTTGCAAACTCTATCTATGGCTCCTTCTCATTAATGGAATATGGATCTCGGAGTCATTTTTCACATGAATGCAAATGAAGGTAATCAATCTCACATATTATTCTAATACGATGAATAATATTATTATTGATAATAACTATAATATTCTAGTTTTGATTTTGTAAATGTATTAATACATAATGCTCATCACATGCACCAAAGTTAATTAAACCTACATTTAATATATTATTTATAAATAAGTGAACAATATTTTTATTATTATTTTAACTTTTTAATATATTTTTTTGTTTTTCTTTAAACTATTTTAGTTAATAAAATATTAAAATTTGATTAATACAATTTAAAGTTTAATTAACCTATATTCTGACATAAATTAGTTAATATGTATATCATTCAGATTTTAGTTAATATTTTATATAAAAATAATTAATAAAATTCATAATTTAGTTGATGAGTTTTCAAACATTAAAAAAAATTAAATAGTAAAATAAAGTTGGTTAATAAATTATAAAAATTAGTTAATATATTTATAATTTAGTATCAGAACATAGTTATTATTATATATTTTATTAATTAATAAAATAATAAAAGTGGTTAATAAATTATAAATAAAATAATTAATCAATAATATATATTTTTAAGATTAATACAATTATGAAATTGATTAATAACACAATCATATATTTATGTTATAAAATAAATTTTAAAAATATTTTTTATATTAAAATAATATATATTTTAAAAATAATATTATTTTAATAAAAATATATTATCCACAGTATAAATACAGTAAACAGTATATACCGTGTAAAAGTTGATATCAATATAGCATAGCTGTTCAATTTAATCGTTCTTCGATTTGATAAATCTCCATCAAGCCTATAGATTAATTCTCAACTCCCAACAAACACAACTTACCTTTCAAAATACAAATATATCCGAAGAGTTGCAAGAACAATTATTTATCACATGCTATATACATAGCTAATAGAAGTCACAAATTAGTTTCTACTATATATATTTAACGTTTATAGCAGTTGCATCACATCAAACAGAAGATACCATAACATCATTTCACTCTAAGAAGCAATTTCATGTGTTATATTATCAAAATAAACACAAAAGGAAATATCCTATCTTTTCATTCTCAAAATCTAAATTAAAAAGATAATATTACTCTTTATTCAAGTATGAAAAGATTATGATTTCAAGGCTTATGATGTTGGGTGTAAATGTAATCTAGGTGAGCTTCTAAAGTCATTCTTCTCTGCATACATTCTTCATCTTCAATATTGCAATTCTCCATTTCCATAACCTGTGACATTTCATAATTAACAAGCATAATAAGATATAGTTTTTTTTTAAATTATAAAAATTTGGGAGTATAAAAAATCATTATAAATTTAAAATAGTGGCTACCTTCAAAGATTCACCTCCTTCTAACTCCAAAAAAAAGTTCTCCCCTGAAAAACCAGTTTCTGTACTTTATAAATATACATAACCCATAAGGAGATAATTTGAATAAGAGTTAAGAGTTGTATGCATACCTTGTTCACTTGTAAGTGGCCTTGAAGAGACTATTATTGAGAAAAGCAAAAATAAAAGGAACAAGAGTTGAGCTTCAAAGATAAAATTTAGCCTCATTTTCACTTCTATGAGAGGAAATTTATTTTTTTGGACTTTGTAGTATCCAAGGGATAGCTTGGTGTTGATACCACCAACATGAATATATATATATATATATATATAATGTTACATGGTCGTGTGACGAGACCAGACAAGAGCATTATTAGGATTTGATGTACATGTGAATGCTTTGGTGTTGTAGGCAATACAGTGGTCCAAGCACAGTCTCAGAGACAGTCAAAGAATTTGTTTTATGTAGTAAGTTGTTGAGTTGACAGTAGTAACAAGTCAACCTTTCGGACACAGTCACAGCTGTTTTCCAATCTTCAACTTCATGTTTTAGCTCTGTCGAATCAAATTTTCTAGTAACAGGTCATACTTTTCATTTGCCTGGTTTTTAGAAGTTTTGTAATACCAATAGTACAAATTTTACATTGAGTCACTTTCACTATGCTACAATGGATGGTTGTGTAATGTGTTCACAACTAAAATAGTTTTGTACCGTGCACAAGTGTGTTTTTTATTATTGGATTATCAAATGATATTAACTTCATTTGATTTAAAATGTGACCAGTCGATTAAGAGTGTGTTTGGATTGGCGGTGGATATAATTGATTTTAGTATAATTGAGTTTTGTAGAATTGATTTATGTTTCGATATATTTATGTAAAAGTGAGTTGAACAATAAATTTCAAAGCAAAAATTACTCAGAATCAATTCTGGAGGTAAAAGTTACAAATTCTAACTTCAAGTAGAATCAATTCTAGAGAAAGAATCAATTCTACTTTTATCTAACCAAACATTTTAAAGTCACTCAGAATCAATTCTACATCTTTAAAATTGTTTTTGATCTTTCTAAAAGTCAAACAAAACATGTACTAAATAGTCGAAAGTAATTAATAGAATTATTGATCTTGCTTTTTCATTAATTTGTGCAATGATATATATAATAATTTTTTTTTTTAATAATCTTCATAATGCTTATTAGTTATGAGTAATTATTTAGAGGAATTTTTGATAATGACGGTTATAAATAAAGAGATATGCGCATAATAGGTTAATACACTCTCGCAGTGGAAACAGAAGATTAATAAATAATGTCGAGATATCTCAAAAATCATCAAAGAGTTACAATGAAAATCCTCTGGTGAATATAAAAACAATTTGATAACGTGATTGAAAATGAAGGACTCATACATGGCTGCAAGCAACATTTTCACGCACAATATATATATATATATATATATATATATATATATATATATATATATATATATATATATATATATATTCATCTCAATATATTTTATGTTTTGATATTAAACTGGATTGAAAGATTAATACACTTTGCACCTGCATTAACACAATAAATAAAAGTAGCTTTTGTAACAGGACAATGTAGTTTTAAAAGTAATTTAATCCAATAAAATTCAAACACTACATTAACTACGCTTCATTATTCAATCTATGTATTGGACCAAGACAAGGTATGTTATCTTTTTGCAAACCATGAGATTAAATTATCACCAAGAAGATCCATTTCCATTATGATAAATTAATAAATAAGGAGTGATCAACAACACAATTAGTGAATCTTTGGTACTATACTATCTAAAAATACAAATATATGATAATTCCTAGTGATTTAGGGATGTCAAAGGCTTTAAGATTTGTTGTGAGGTTGAGAACTTGCTCATGTGGGGGGTGAAAAGCTCTATATACGTGTATTTCTATGTTGAAGTTAGGTTAGGTACTCCCTCTCAACTGTGATGTTAACGCATTTATAGTCACATCGGACATTGGTTCGCAAATCAATATTATAATTAAATAAGTGTCACATGCAAGTATATATGTTGTGATTGCAGCAAGTAATAAGTATAAGAGTATCATACCCACAGAGAGTGAAGTTACTTAGATTTAATTTTGAATGAAAATTATTCTTTTGATTTAAGCATGAGCAGAGAGAAATAATGGTTGGTGTTTATGAGTTCCAATTCACTTAAAATAGATGTCAAAAGAAAGGTGAAAAGTAGTGGAAATATATTAAGATTGATTGAGTTGAGCTATGTTCCATTAATATTATTAGTGTATTTAAGTGTTTATGATGTGTGGTGTCGTGACTGGTGAGGTCAGAGTGATCATGTGGTGTATTTCTACAACATCAAAGCATACATAACAAAGGCAAGGGAACAAATATCTAAGCCTCACTTATAACCCCAATATGTGTCTATTAGTATTTTGAAATTCTCAATAGTTGTAGCTTCTTATCTCTAAGTAAGCTAAACAAGTGAATATCTATATCCTACTCATTCAACTATTTTTATTAAGAAAACTACTTGTTGTTGGATCTCCCACAACATCAAGTTGTCATCTACTCCTAATTTGATCAAGCAAAGAAGTAAACTTATAACATATTAACATATAATAAAACTAGTCACTTAACCACACACCATATAACATAAAAACACTTTAATATTAACTTCACATTGCTCAACTACAAAAGGTTAACTCATAATAAGCTGAGTACGAGCTACAATCATGGTTCTCAATAAGAACATCTCTTAAACAATAAATAAATAAAAGATATAAATCTAAGAGAGACTTGGAAAATGACTTGAGACGGCTAGTCTTCAAGAGACATCTTCAGTTGCGTCACTTCTCATCAGCTGGTACAAGATTGGGTGAGGAGAGAAACTCTTGCACACTCCATTATCCACGCACGCAAATTCTTGGTATTTTTTCTCTTAGAACAGCTGAACTCTCCCTTCATTTCTCATTGTAGCTCTCACTACGCCAAAACTGCTTTAAGGAAGCGCACCTTAGACAACGCTTTTGTACCAAAGCGCGGCTATATGTCCCGATAAAATTTTAAAATTTAAAACTATATACATTAGACAACGCTTTACAAAAAAGCGCTGTGTAAAGTTGAGAAAAAGTGTTGCCTTAGGTTCATTAAAGAAAGCGCTTTAATAAAGTGTTTCTATATGCTTATATTTTAAAAAAGTGATGTCATAGGCCCAACAGAAGAAAGCACTGCCATAGGTCCAAAGCGCTGCTAAAGCCACACTTTAAGCAGCGCTTTCTAAAAGCGCTACCTAAGGTTAATTAAAATTGAAATAAAATATTATAGTCTAGGTTTTGAGTCGTTACTTTCTATTGTCCACTGTTCTTCTTCTGTAAAACGAAATCCTGAATTCTCAATCTCTAAAACTCACGAAAAACCCTCAATCTTCTTCTCGTTTCTTCCATACAAACTCACGAAAAATCATCAATCTTCTTCTCGTTTCTTCCATACAATCTCAAAAACCCTCAATCTGCAAAATTCTCCATACAAACTTCCGTCGTTGATTCTCCATTTCCCTTTCATGCGTCGTTCTTCTTCTCGTTCATAGGTAAGTTTCCACCTCTTCTTGTTCTTTTTATTTGCATATAAGTGTTGTTCTTTTAGGTTGTGTTGTTGGGGATGGGTTGCTCACTCGTTCATCTCTTTCATTGAGTAGACCTGTTTGCATTAAAGAAGTTTGTATTAAAGAACTGTTCTAGTAATTTTGAGTAGACCTGTCATCTTCATTTGTGTTATTCTATTTTGTTGAGAAGTTTGTTTATAAATGGGTTGGTTTATGATATCTTGCTAAAAATAAAAAGAGGTGATAAGAAAACAAAAGTTTATCATACTATGTAGATGGAAATTGGAAAGTAGAGGATATTATTTCATTGCGAAAACCCCAATACTTTTGAAAATTCATTATTGAATACATTAATATTTGAAACCTAAAACATGATTTAGACTGCCTGAACAGGATATCAGAAAGGAGTGTCAATTCAATTTTCCTAGTAGATATAACATGTTTCCCTAGTCAAGTTAGCTCAGTTCAAAGTTTTTTATTTTTGGGAAGATTTGGATATACTCTTCCCAATTGTGACATACTTGGATTTGCTAAATATTCGTGAAGAAGTTTTAGAGAATTAAATGCGAAAAAATCATATAAAAACTTTTTGAATGTTGTAAAGGCTACATGATCATATTGGCTAAAATTCTCTTTGCTTATCATTAATCCCTTATTAATATTATTATATTTACTTGATTATCTATCTGAAGAACTAGCTATTCTTTTGGACCAACCTTGCTACTTCTTTACTCACTATTTATAGTCCTTTTGTAATAAAAAATTAAGATATTATAGCTTATAGATATTGTACTCATTCTAAGTTCTAAACTCACATGATGTGTTAAATTTGTTCAGATAAAATGAGCTTTAATCTATCTTGAAACATACCATATAAACATAGCATATTGTAACATGTTTGGATAGTAAGATGCGGTGCACAATATGTAACACTTAAAAAGAATATCATGAAAATTCAAAATAAAATGGTATCTAATGTGTTTATTTTCTAGTTCTGCAACTTATGGTTTATGGTGGACATTTATGGAGAAAATACTCTGTAACTTATAGTTCTTTAACTGTTCCTTCTTTACAGTTTGAGATCTAACTCTTCTGCTCATAATATATATATATATATATATATATATATATATATATATATATATATATATATATATATATATATATATATATATATATATATATATATATATATATATATATATATATATATATATATATATATATATATATATAAATGTATTAAATTTTGTGTGAATTGAAGACTGAAATTGTGTGTAATGAAGCTTAACTAACTCTCGGTCTTAACTGATAACTAATTCCTATTCCATACACATAATTTTAACTGATTTAGTTTCTTATTTTCTCCCTTTGAATACCATATGATATAAAGTGTTGTGTGCTGTTAATTACAAGTTAATGAGAATAACTCTGATTTCTTCACATACTGTATTTCATCACAGTATTTATTACAAATTTGTTGATTTTGATAGAACAAGATAATTCTATATGTCCTGACAGTTTTTATCATATATATCTTGCTGCAGCGCAGGAGGGATTATATTGTCAACTTTAGTTTGATCCCGCGGTAGATCTGGTATATGTATGGGC